CACACACACACACACACACAGTACAGATGCCCTTTCTCCTAAATGCATGACCCCCTGCTGAACAGGCTAAGCCACTGGATGACGGATGGATGCTACATCTGGCCTGACTTTACATTCCCAGTGAAATATATACTTGCATACTTTATCGAAACACCCTTACGATACCATGCTGATCATAACTAAAATGAATTTCTGTAGCTTTTACGGTGGCTACATCCTTAAGCCCTCATAAAATTCTCATAGAGGCATCATAAAATTGCGATAAATTTGGCTGAACCATGTTTTATAGTAAAGCAATCTGTTCCACGCTGTATAGAGTAACGATGCGTATTTGAGTAGACAGACGGGGAAAGTGAAGCGGTAACGTTCTCCAGCAGGACCCCACCGTGGGAAAGGGTGGGTGGAGCATAGCTGTGATGGATGATGGGACCTTTAATGCGTGACTCTGAGGGCAGCATAGTCTGTCCTGCTGACTCTGGGCCTGAAGCCCTGGGTGTTTCCTCTCAGGCTGGTGCACATGTTTACGTCCCTCAACTGAATACAAGCCTGCTCACCTGAGAGAGTGACAGATTGTTAAGGAACAGAGGGCATTAGAAAGCCCTTATAGCTGGATGGGAGGAATGGGACACACTGGGGTCCCAGCAGCCCAGCTTTGTTGGGGCACACAGGCCCCGTGGCGCCTGCATTTCTCAAGCACAAGCCCTGGAACAATAATCAATGTAACGAGATCCCGCGTGACACCGGTAATCCTTTTGCATGCCTTGAGCGTCCGTCCCCCCCCCCCTCAGGGAGCTCTTTGTAGTATTACAGCCAAAGCCCCCTTGCCTGAATCTTTCTAACAGGTGTGTTCAGCCTTCGGCACCCTCTTACTATGAACTATCCCCTTTGGGTTCACACCACCCGCGCACCCTTCATACTGCAGCCATATTTACAGCCTTGCTAAGAGTCTTTAGCCTGAGGAACGGACTGAGTATTGATGCCTTAAACAAACCAGGCCCGTGGCCTGAATGGTGGCTGTCCTCAGTGGGGGCTAGGGGGCTATACAACACAAGCCAGAAGTCATGCTTTACAGTCAGAAAACACTTTCTCTTCCTTCTCCACAGATAACTTACAAGAAAACTTTAGGCTACTCTGAAACAAGTACGTGGAAGGTGGGGATGCCTGAGCACCTTTACCTTTTGCCTGAATGATTAAATGTGACCCCCTTTTGAGCTAGGCTGTCAAAATTTCCAACAGGGACACCTTCGTAAAAATGTTCCCTAAGCCACACCCCCAACCCATTCGAGCATCTGCTCCTTGAAATTCTGTGTATGGTGCTGCTCAGTTATTCTGACCCACATATTTTCATAAGAACAACATAAAATCAAACTGAGTCTTTGTTTACATAGAGGAGTATATTTTGTCCAGAATTTTTTCGTGTTATGTAGGCAATCCGAGTTCCCATATAAAATCATTTTGAAAATATTTACTTCGGCATTTGACTTATTTACCGTGAAGACAATTAATATATACATTTTAGTTACAGATATATATGCAGAAAAAACATTCACACAGAAAACAGTGGGAGGCATCCAGTAATATCGGAATTATAATACGCTATACAAATTTTTTAAATTACCAGCCACATTTTCATACCGTAGCAAAAGTGGCATTTTCAAACAGGATTAACTTTAAGACATATTTGCTTGTGAAAAAGGCTGATACACAATGGCATGGGAAATGCTCCATTCCTGAAAACCAGCTCAGCCAGGGAGGGGAAGGGTCAAGGTCAATCTCAGCAAGCTTAACGCAGATAGATGAAACCAGGCTCTCCTTGTGTCTGTGTGAGGACAATGACAGTCTGACCCACTTTTCAACAGAGGTCACCGGATTCGGACAGGTCTCAGGGGTAACATAACTAGAACCATTGTGGTCTCCTGTGTAACTCTGTGTATGTTGGGGTGGAATGGCTCAATTCAAGGTTAGGGGGTTGCTAATTCTAATCCTGCCATTGTCAAATAAACATGCATTTTGTTCCTCATTGGACTAATAAGACCACAGTAAACCATATACACCAGCCAGCCTTCCTAAATACACTTTGAAACATTCCAGTAATTTGTGTTAGTAACTACGGTCCTTACTGTTAAATAGCGAACTGCTCCCCAGCAGGTTCTTATACACTAATCATTTCAATACTTTGGTGGGTTTGGTTATCTTCTATAACAGAGGCTGACCAGAGGAACTGAGTTCTTGAATTTAAAGGGATATAATGTATAATAAATTCAAAGAATGTGATGTACTCGCGTTCTCATGAGCAGAAACACCAAGAGGAATCAAACGAAAGTCTGCAAGCAGTCGGGCAATTTTTCTCACACGCAAACTTAATTATAAAATTTACACAGAGCTGATAATTAGTCCTGATTACAGGAATCTGGGTTGTGGTTTCAACAAGGCAGCCTGGCTCATCTGCCATGCATTCGGATGAAGGGCCACTGGAGCTGTGTACCCACCTGCAGTCTTGGGGAAATGATGTCATAGACTGCCATTGAGGGGGCTTCACGGGGGGGGATAGCTTAACTGGCTGAATCCTTCCCCCATTTCCTCAAACTCAGCCCAAAGGCCTTGTTAATGAGGAGTATCGGAGGAGATTTAGAGGAGGGCTTAGCATTCCCTGTAGTTCCCAGGTGTTTAATCTTCTAAGGCAGCTTTCCAAACAAGGACCGTCTCATCCCTGGCCCTTTCCACATTATCCCATGTCACTCGCCTCCTGTCTATTCACCCAGGGCTACAGATTCTGGAGTAACTACATAAACCACTCATTGTGACATTGGTCTTCTCTGGCTCCCTTTCTTTCCAGGGCCCAAGAACCATCTACAGAAATTCAAGGCTGTAAAAGGATTTTGGCTCCTTACTGAAATCCAAGGCTTGCTCTTATGCAGGGTTAACAGCCTGTGAAATTAACTCCCAGCCATAAACTCTGGCTAGACCACCATCACAAAGTGCTGCAAGATTTCCTTCCCCCATCCCGCATAAATGGATCATTAGAGAATCCTTTCAAGGGCAGAGTTAATATACCAAGGATGAAAGTAACCCAATGAGTAGATCTTCACAGAACAGTTTAATGGGAGAGGGGACTGATATACTGAACACATTTCAAATTAAAGTGTTTTATTTTGAAAACACATTGCACACATACATGTGAAAAGCTGCTGTGTAGAAACACTAGAGAGAAACATGATTACAATTATGATATCTAGGCTCTTGATTAATTACTGGTACTAGCAAGAATATGGATTGTGTATTCATACTTTGATTATGCTTATAGGAAGAAACACTCAGATAATACTCAGGAGCGAAGATCTTTGGCTTGACTTGACTTGTTCCTGATGTTTTAGCAATATAAAGGTCAATAGAACTGTCCCACTAGTCAACTAGCAGTCCAGCAATATGCACACAGCAGTCCAACAGATGACAGCTCTTCATCCTGTGGCAACAACTGGACAGAGCTACACCAGTGTCATCACCTTTAAGGAAGCTGGCTGAAATCTCCGGATCTTCTTCTTTAGGGCTCGAGAGGCCTTGATCCGAAAGGCTGGGGGCTCAGGACAGGACTGGCGCATGGATGCACTGGCTGTAGTTGGGCCAACTGCTGCCTCTGCCCACACCAGACCGCCCTCCTCATCCTCCTCCTCCTCATCATACTCCAGAGAGATGCTGCTGTCGGAGTCGCCCGGCGACTGGGAACCCTGGCTGGACTCACTGTCGCCAAAGCGGTTAGTGGTGAAGTCGCTGAGCTCGCCCTCGCTGCTCTCAGCGATGGTGGAGTGGAAGAGGGACGCTCCATCGGCAGAGTACTCGGACTGTCCCGACTCGCTCGCCGGTGGGTAGTGTGAGGCTGCCGGGTAGCGAAAGGCATAGCTACCGAGATATGAAGACGAGGGGTGGAGAGAGCGTGGGGGGCCCACCCATGGCCCCGAGCGAGGTCTCACGTTGCGTACAAGCCCCGTCTTACGTGACGTCCCTGGAACCTCCCTTGACCTTTGACCCTGAGCCACACTAAGAGAAGCAGGCCAGGGACCGGTCTCTGCAACCAACTGCCACTTCCGGGCCACTTGCTTCTTCCTGCTGGGATCGGCAGACATGCGCTCCAAATTAGGGTGCTGTATCCGCGGATTATTTTTCACTCTGGCGTTGGGTTCCATTTGGGGCTGGAGGCAAGTAAAATGGGGCATGGAGTTTGACTCAGAGTATAACCGGGTACCTCCATCCCCCATGCGGGTGGGTGGATCTCTGGACATTCGGCCCTCTCCTGCTTGTTTGGGACCCCTATCTGTGTGTCGGGCTCCCCTGCCATTGGGCTCCTTTTCTCGATCACAGTACACTTGCGGTTGCTGCTGCTGCTTTGCCGAACGGGGCCTCTCTGAGCTCCTCCTTCTCAGCTTCACAGCCTTCGTCTTCCTATCTGCCTGCCTGACTTTCACACGCCTTGAGCCAGCTGGCACAAACTGGGCGTGAACAAACTCTGGCTGAGTGGTGTGGACGGTTCCCTCAGGATCACGCCTTTCCTTGACACTGGAAGTTCTGGTCACACTGGGTGTTTTCGCAGACCGTGCCATCTCTCCATCCTTGCTGCTCAACTCCTGGTGGGGGTGCTCTCCAGACCCTTCCTTGCCATCCCTTGGCATGCCAGAGATGGTTGCGACCGCCCTGGTCTTTGGTTCATGTACATCTGCTGGGTACAGCTGGCAATATGACGTGGATATGTTCTCAACCTGATTCAGGCCAGAAGAAGAACCGTCACCTGACAGTTGGTTGCGCTGGGAAGTCAATGTCTTCTCAGCCTCCAGAGGGAGCTCCTGAGGGCCCATGTAAGGCATCCATGAATTCTGGTCCTTGACAGCTGATGCTCTGTTTCCCACAGCAGGAGCCTCATTCTGGCTCTTCACTGGTAGCTGGGGCACTAGGAGGTTGCCCTTACTCAAACTGCACTGGAGGATCTTGTTGATGTACCCCACAGACTTGCTCTCTGACCTTTCATCCCCTTCGGGACTCTCAGCACTTGGGGTGCCTCCGTCCTGGGACTCCAGGGTTTCTGCAGAGATGTTGACTTCATTTCCATTCAGGGAGAACATGGGACTCTGGAGGGCCACAGCATGAAGAGGGCTGGGATAACGGTACACCTCAGCACCACTGCGTGAGAGCAGGTCACTTCGGTACTTGGGGTTTACTGCAGTCTGTTGTAGATTGACACACAGGGAAGTCTTCTTTAACTCTATGGACTTGTAAAGTCCCAGACTGGGGGTCACAAGTCTCTCCAAGTCTCCTGTGGGGGAACCACAGCTCAGTTGAGAAAAACAGTCATTACAAAAATTTTAGACAAGCAAGCTAAATTTTACAAGTTATTTATTTCCCATCACAAACTGTAAAACAAACCCAGTCCATGCAGAAAAATTGTTAAATGTTTCCTGCATTGTTCAGAAGTTAGAAATACTTATGAATTGGGTCGGGGGGGTGGGGGGGTATGAAACCCGAGAGGTGACGGCGTGGCCTACCTGTGGACACCGGCCTGGGTCTGGCCCGATCTGCGACCCCGGTGCGGATCCGGGAGCCAGGCTGCCGTACCCCGCTGACCCTGGGGGGCTCGCCCCGTGAGGTGCTCTCGTCGGCAGAGCGGGGGCGGGCAGCCTCCGCTGCCCTGCCTGCTGGCAGGGTGAGCAGACCAGGGCTGCATGGAGTAGGAAATAGGCTGCTCTGGGAGGAGGACAGGCACTCACTGTACACAGAGGTGCAGGAGTTGGACAGTGATCCCGAGCCGCCATCGCTGAGTTCATAGAAACCTTGAGGAACATGACAAAGTCATTACTGGCGTTTCATTCAGGAAGCAAGTACACAATCCAAGATGGCCATGATTAGCATCACATGCAAGCTACTTATTCTTAACCATCCTGAGGTATACCTGCAGAACTCTTCTATAAAATGTAAAAATGACACCATGGACTTATGTAAAAGACCCCATTGGGTTTGAGTCATCTGTCTGAGATCCGTCTTGCCAGCACAAAGAAAGTGACCATGAGCATATCAGCACTGGAAGAACTAACATCACAATGTCAGCTTGTCAGCAAGGGTTTGTATTTGTGTGTCACTGCTCACCAGAGCTGGGTCGGCTGTCGCTCTCCAAATGTTCACTGGAGGCCTTGCTCACATCCAGCTTGAGCTCACTGATCTGCTGGTCCAGCTGCTGCAGATGGCTCTTCAGCCCCACATCCTGTCTGCGCAGCCGCATCTGTAAGGCAACCACAGGTAGTTTGGTAAGATATGAACAAATGGTGCATTTGCAGCATACTGAAAACAGGGTCAATTAATGGTCCCAAAATGCGAGAAGCCTAAACTGGAAGTAGGAATTGGTGCCTGAGATGTACTTAAGTCAAAGGTCACAGCCTTAAATACTGTACTGGGTCTCACTCTTGTCTCTGAAAACGTCGCTATATGAACAAGCCACACACGACGCTAAGACCCACTCACTCCTCATGCTAGTCACACACCAGCCAACCATGACGGAAAACCCTTCGACCAAGAGCGACATCCTCGCTGCTGCGCGCCCAACGCGATTCCTGAGGTTATACGACACTGGAAAAACAAGGGAGACGTCTGGCTGTTGATTAACAAAACAAGGACAAGGAGCTGGGGAGAGCAGCTCTAGGTGGATAATTCACTTCCCCCCCCACAGCGAATGACCGGCCCATTGTGCAACCTTAGAGGGGCAGAGAGGACAACAGAAACTCGTGTTTGTTTAAGCAGCTAAGCTCAGTAATGCCCCTGGCCACAGGGGACAGACCATTACTCGAATCCCAATGTTGTTACTCTGCCCTGCTCTTAAAGCTCAGTGGGGGAGGGGGAAATGACTGTTTTGGCTTTGCACCTCTGGAGACAAAGATTTTAACCCCAGTCTGATAAATATTTGTAAATGGCAACTTTACACAGCTGCTCATGTCTGTACTATGGTTCAAATAGCTGGGAATCAGTAAAATAAACAAGCCCATACTGAAATTTCAGGATTGTATTATACACAAAGTAAAATTGTAGGGAATAAACTTTACCAAATGTCCACAATGTTGTGTAATCTCTATCGATAAAAAGATAAGTTCTGATATGAATTAATTACGTTAGGGAGGCTGATTTACTATCAACAGCACTATCTATACTATCCATAAATAAACTGTAGGTTTTTATATTCTGGTTCTCTTGTAACTCCTACAGATAAATTATTCCTACAGATAACGCTGAGTTCTTGACATTTTAACAACACTGCGCAGTGAAATTTCATGTTTTTTTTTTCTTTAACTCTAATGAAAGTGAGTTAATGATCAGAGATGAAACGACCCCCACCAGCGCACACGAAGGTCCCTCTTCAGGTCCCGGAATGACCCTTGATTTATGACTCCCCGCTACCCCCTGCGGCGCTGGAGCAAAAAAACAAGCCCTTCCTGAAAGGTCAGGCCACTGGATCGTTATCACCTACAAATACAAGTTTATAACTAGGGCCATAATACCGGTAACAGACAGCGCGATCGGATTGCAGATAGTAGAAACACAAGCACTGTGTGATATCCTTCCCAAATGGAGTCTTAATGAATCCATATTGCAATTAAGCAGGCATTGTCAACAGTGTGACATGCCCAGACTTGGCTGATCCTATTGATAACCCATGTCTGTTTGACGGACTCTGAAATATTACATCACAGCAAATGTGTCGAGGCAAAGTAAACATCGCATTCAGGTAATTCTTACTCACTGACTGACAGATGGAAACTTACCAGTTGCTGTTTAAGGGCTGCCAGCGTCGCCTCCAGACGCTGCTCTTCAGTACCGATCACCGGTCCATCGGCATCTTGTTGAACGGAGGACAATGGATCCTCATGGTTCATCCGGAGGGCCCAGTGCACCATGTCGCCCTGCTTCTCCTTCAGCAAATGTAGCTCCTGCAGACCCGCTAGAGCTGCCTGCAGCCTTTCCCCAACCCTGCCGCGATCGATACTGCCCGCCGCGCTCAGCAGCCCCGGACCAGATTTTCTGTTCAGCATATTAAAGACGGGCGCACAGACATCCGGAAAAAAAAATAAAATTAGAAACCCGTATAGGGTGCGAACGGTCGCCTTTTTCACGTACAAAACTCCCTCCAGACGTGCAGTCGTTAAAGACAAGGTTGTGCTTGGATCCCCTGCAAATAACCGGCAGACTGCGATGCCACCCGAGACCTCCCTTCTCTGGGGCCGGCGTTACCTGCTTGGGTACCGTGAGCCCCGCCCAGGGGTCTGCACCACCCTGACATGCCCCTTTTCATTAGGGATCATGAACGCCATTGGCTGAGGATCTGAGCGCACAATGACTCGTACATGCGCTGCATCTGGCGAAAGTTCACCGACCTACTGGTAAAGATAAAAGTCGCGAGATAATCCGACTATTCCAGTTCCGACTGTAGATCAAAATTTAAAGTGTCAGTTCTTCGAATGCGCCCAAGTCCCTACACTATATTGGTGTGCTTTAGAAATGGGAACAGTCTCAAATTAAGTTTTCCGGGTATGTTCATCAACAGGCTCACTCCTTTGAGTCCTGTCCTGGATTTGCCTTAAAAGAAATACACGAATAATCGAAACTTACTAAAGAATATGGTTTCAAATAAATTCTGCAGTAAAAATGTAACTTTTTCCAGGTTGTTCACAAAACATGGTCTCTAATAAAATTCCAAAACGGCAGACTCTCACGTATTTCATCAATGCATATCTGGACTTATCCAAGGAAAAAAATAAAAGATTACTTAGAGATCTACGTTTGTCACCCCAACTAAATGCATTTATAGAAGGCCATACTAAGAGATTTAATCAGAACAATTTCGCAGGTGTTATCGCATTCCCTGAGCATACTATATCTAAAAGTTGATATCAATATACTGTAGAGGGAAGATGTGAAAAAGAACACAGTTGAATGCATGGCTGGTCTGTTTGCTTTGGAATGGATGCCATTTAACAGAAGGAGTCGCCCTTGAACTGAGCTGAATGCGTGAATTTTCTGTTTATCGTCACTGCATGTCAATGATGACAAACCGCAACTTGCCTCTGGAAATCTTTGTAAAAGAGACACCAGAATAGACTGGAGGCAACCGTGAAAATATTAACGTCACCATTAAGTATGCTTTGTTGCAATTAGTCGCTTTATATTTTCAGTTTGTTTCAAAGTTTTATTCGTTACATACACAGTTATAATTAATACAATGTCCAGTGACATGTATGGTTTCTTAGCTCCAGACAATGGGAAGAAAAATGCACATGTTTGAGAGACAAGACACCACGCATTACAAACGTCAGTCATCAATTAATACACTGCACTTATAAATATTACCATTCACAAGAATTCTACGACATAGATTTATTATAGTGATGTTGGTATAAATATGTATTGTGTGAATAAAACTACATTAAAGAACTTGAACAATTTACTCCTAAAGGGTTGTGCGTTCAAATCCTGCCTCAACCCTGTGTGAATGGACTTCTGGACAATGAAACTGAAGCACCTGGTTTTAAATCATAATAATTTAATAGTGTAGTGTAGACTAGAGCCTCCTTTAGTGGCCAATACAGCATCAGTGTGTCTTGGGAATGACAGATAAAAGTCCTGTTCAGTGGCCAGAGGGATTTTAAGCCATTCCTCTTGCAGAACAGTGGCCAGGTCACTAGTGATGCTGATGAAGGATAATGTTTCCTGACTCACTCCTCCAAAACACCCTGAAGTGGCTCAATAATATTCAGATATGGTGACTGTGCAGGCCATGGAAGATGTTCAGCTTCACTTTAATGTTTATCAAACCCGTCTGTCACATTCTTGCTGTGTGTGTTGGTGCATTATCATCCTGACCCACAGCGCCACCTTCAGGATACAATGTTTGAACCACTGGGTGAACATGCTATTAGTTAAGTTCTCCCCAAACGAGCTTGATGGGCCGAATGGCCTCCTCTCGTTTGTAAATTTCTTATGTTCTTATGGTCCTTCAGAGTGGTTCAGTAGTCCTTGGCAGTGATGTGCCCATCTAGAACAAGTAGTTGGTTTAGGGAATGAAGGTGGACTCATCAGAGAACAATACATGGTTCATATTTTCCACAGCCTAAGATTTGGCACCATTGAAACTGACGTTTGGTATTGGCATGAATGACCAAAGGTTTGGCTATAGCAGCCCGACCATGAATATTGGCCCTGTGGAGCTCCAGACAAACAGTTTTAGTGGAAACAGGAGAGTTGAGGTGCACATATAATTCTGCAATGGGCAGCTGTGGTTTTATGTTTTTTGTGTTTTTTCAAATGTTTTTTACAGTCCGGGTTAGTACCCAGACATTCCTTTCTGACAACTTCCTCTGGCATCCACAGTTACTCTTGTTGAATGTGCCCATCCTTAAGGCTGGTATGCTGGTATTACCCTGGATAACGTGGATACATGCTGCCCTGCTTACAGATGTGCCAATGAGATGCGCATCGATAATTTGTCCTCCTTTGAACTTTGATAAGTCTGATCTTTGATATGACTTTGATACAGCTGTGCTTTTACTCTTTTAATTCGACCTTTACACTCTGCTCTTACTGGTGTAATGTGCAGTGAAGATTAGCCACCAGGCTGTGCATATATAGGTGTAAAACTTCAAACACTATTTTGACCAGTGTTTCAGTTTCATTGTCCAACCCCTTTATGTCCTCCTTGTATTGCAGGGATTTCCCGTGGATATTTTGATTTTCTACCGCAATCCAAAGATGAATGAATTCACTGGACGTGATATTTTGGCGACCTCTTGTGGCTCAAAAGAGAATAACGTAGTGTCTTGAACAATAAATTCAGGAGCCTCGTCAGTACTGAATTACTAACACAAATTCATACAAATGATAACGATGCTAATATTTTGATCCAAAACCACACCTAAATTAAAATGTTTATGACTGCCCAGAACTGTTGTTTCAATAACAGTTCACAGCCAGATACAGTATCTAATTATTAATGGTATTAATGGTAACTATGATTGTGACAGTCTTATAATGCATATACTCAAAACATCAGAAAACACTGGTAATAAAATAATATACATGCATTTTTGTTAACGTGAGTTGATACTGCCCACTTCTGGTTTGAATCTATAATCATCATGCATGAACAGGGAACAAGAGTCCATCTGCAAATTGCATGCCACTTGACTCTTTCCCAGGGACGGTCTTATTTCATAATGCACAGGGTATAAGATAGGGGGCAGGAATCAACCTGGATATGTGAGATGAAAGTGGTGCCTACTGTGTCACCCTGTGTGTCTTCAGCTTTCATTAAGGCAAGAATTCTGACTCCCGAGGGAGGGGTAGGGCAATTTCAACACACTGCAGCAACCGCAATACTAAATAATAATCCTGTCATTCTAGTAATTTATTCTGGATTAGTTTCAGCATATGACTTCTTGCATGTTTCTAACAGTTGGCAGGCCCATAGTGCATACTGGTACATAAATGCAGGAAACTGGTTAGACCAGGGGTCTCCAACCTTATTTACAGTGAGGGCTATTTTTACAAAGAAAATAATCTGGGGAGCTACTAGGGGTGGTAACAGTAATATTAACTCTCCTTTCAAGTCCAGTCTGCAGCACGCTGTGACAGCACAGCACTCATCATCCCAGACAAAGTCAAATATACATGAATACACAAATTACATGTATTATGTGGGCTACTCATTGGCTCATTGTGGGCTACTAGTAGCTCGCAGTTGACGTGTTGATGACCACTAAGTACGAGTATTGATGCATAGTATTTACAAGCTAAGGGACTTGTTCAGAAGCCCAGCAGTGAGATCACTCTTCCGGCTACAGCACTTAAGCCAGCACAACGTGTCACAGACACTGAGGCCTATCTTGGATGGCCACATAGCACTCCATGTTTGAAGTATTGTTTATTGATGACATTTTTTAATGGTTTTCAGTGGAGCGAGACCGGGGCTGGAGGAGGGGTCTCAGTAGGGGAGCACAAAGTGGGGGGCCTTTGGTAAAATTTGCTGACTTGGGGAGGGGGGGGTTCTTGATAAACTGTTGCAGTGATCATCTGTAAAATTTACTGGCAGGGGGGCTGAGTCCCGCTTGGTAAATTTTGCAGCAGGTTCCCTGCCGTGATCTGGGGGCAGATGACCTTCCGCACCTTGCCTCCTCTACTACTCGGGTAAGACCATTGAGAGAAAAGGCATGGCATGGCCAATTCTGGAATCAAATCCTGGACCTTAATGTTATCACTAAAGTCCAGCCCATTTCCAAGAATAACCTTTTACAGGCAGGCACTGTTGTGCCATGGGGCCATTACAAAACTAGCAGCAGAGAAACAGCAGGTGACCCCAGGAAAAAGTACCATTTGTTCTGAAGGGAAGCGCATATCTGATATACAGGTGGCGGATGGACCCGTATCACGGATGCTGCTGTGATGTGATTGCGGACTGATTCAGGTCTGTCGGTTTCCTGTTCCACACAGGTGCTGACCTTCTTTGAAGGGGGTGCCTGAGGAACGTGCTGGTAGAGGACAGGAACACCAACAGGGCACTGACACTGGGCACAGAGAATGGGCCTGTCTGTTAGTCATATCCTGGATACGGCCCGTACCTCCCACAACCTTCAAACTGCCCAATCTGATCGCAGATTGCCTGCTGTGATTAAATGGTTATCAAACACAGGCCTTTGGTAAATGGATGTCAGTTCAAGCATCAGTAACATTAACTTTTCAGACCATTCAGATACTAAGGAAGAAGAAAAAGCTCCCATTTATTCCCATTCAATTAAATTTTTTCTTTATTTTTTGTTATATAGATGTTGTGTATTCAGTGTCAGTCTTGTCAGAATGTATATAATCAGGCATATTTTCAAATGAAATTTGATATCACTTTAAAATGTCATTTATGTCACACTATTGATAATGACATTTCACACTGCCAGAGTAACAGGTGTGCCACTGACCAGGGATTAGATGTAGATTCAGATCTAATTTATAAATCAGAATAATTTACCAGACAAGATCTCTTAATCTTAATGGTAAATAAATACCCAACATTCCAGCTCAGGGAGGCAATCGATCAAGCGGTAACTTGGGCTCACGGTGTAGTCCTTACATACACTGGGCCTTAACATCACACCAGCTTCTTCAATCACTTACATTAATTTATCAAATGTGTTTATGCAAAGCAACACATAGCTGAAAAAGCAGGGTCAGCCAGTCCCTGGAGCTTTAGGAATTGAGGGCCTTGCTCAGGGACCCAACAGAAAAATCACTC